CGTGCCTTCGCCTACCGCTTAAGCTGACTTCCAGCTCGACGCTCCGGAACTAAGTTTCCCGCGAAAGAGATGGATTTACGGCGGATTCTTCCTCAACTATTTCCCTCATCCCGGCCCTTCGCCAAGGGCGAAAAATTCATTCGCGTCAAAGCCCCCGAATAATGTGGGAATGCACGAGCGATCGCGATGGTGCGGTACGATCGCTACCCAGATTTCTACCTACCCGCGCGTAATCCGCGCGCAAAATAATCAACAGAAAAATCCGGTATTACCGTTGCCGTTCGTTAATAACGCGACGCGATTAATCCGACGCAAACATCGAAAACATCGAACCGAAAGGTTACCGCGCTGCACGACGAAGAACATGGATCAATGATTAAATGCCCGTCGCGATTAGCAGAGCGCTGCTGCGATTATCATTATTATTTGTCATGCGGCGGAACGAAAGCGAAGAGTGATGTTGAAAATATTACGGATCGATCGGCAAACGAATTTCCAGCGCGATACGCGCTGTTTGTGCATCCTTTTGATTGAATACCAAATGGTATTACAGTGACTCAGCCAAAGCGCGGTCGGTGATTTTCCAAAGTTTAATTTATCGTAGCTCGCTGGTGCCGAAATAATTTTTCGCTGGTCCGTGCAGCGAGCAGAGAATGATGGAGAAATGCGAGAAGAGGGATGTCTTTACTTTTATCAGTAAGCCCGAATGTCTGTGTCTGTTGACGTCACTACCGTCTCGCTTGCAATTTCCCGTAAAAGTAAATTTATTCACGCAAAACGGTTACTTGTCGCCGATAGCAATCTTATCTGGAGAAACGTAAGAAAGAGAAAGAGAAGGGAGAAAAAGAGAGAGTTTATGGCTTTCGAAATAGATTGCTGATATTTTGCAAACTTTAATTTCAATCGGGATTGTGGGCGTCGCGTCGTCGGCGAAGTGCGATCGATTTTCGCAAAAGCTTATGTTACGCTCCGGCTCTGACGTTGACGTCAGCGACAGAACCGAAATTGGATAATGCTAATAACGCGTGGACGCTAGATAAGACGTAGTTATTCTGACCGCCAGGTTGCTGCGCGACATTAGCGAACAGTCCTTCAGAAATCCGGTCGAACGTGATCCGGCGCGACAACAAAAGGAGCGACCACGCCAGTCAATCAACTTCTTGCTCGTTCCGATCGAAGTCGTCGCGCGAGTTGTCCTCAGAATCGATTCCTTTTCTACTTTCATTGATCGATTCCGTGATTTCGTCATTTCGTCATTGGCGATGATGAATTTTATCTCACATTATTACTCGTTCTTCGATTTATAGAGAAAATAAAAATATAGATTGATACACGAGGGCAGAGCTATTCATAAGAAAGTAATTTTTACTTTCACATATTCTTATTTTATCGCAAAATTTAAAAACGCAAAATATAACGACGAACGATAAACGTTTTCTTCGTTCGTAAAATAAATTATTTTAAAAAATGTGCAGCGGAAAACAATCGAAATGCGAATTAAATATATAGTCTAATATGATTTTATGATTATGCAAGTATCAACTATATATTGTTGTAATAATAAAACGTTCACTTTCGCGATAAGTAACAAAATTGTTACGTTTCATATCTTTATCGCAATCGGCTACGCAATATGTTTCGTTCTAACTTAGGAAAGTTTAAAATTATTGATTGTCGAGACACACGAATTTCATAACTTAACATGCGAGCTCTCGAAATCCTCTTGTGATTCTCCGTAATTACGTTTTCGCCGAATATTAACGTCCGGAAGCATGATACATCGTAAACATTGCGCGAATGAGAATCAAATCGCAAAGAAATATGAGAATAAAATGCAGCAGATAACAGACAGCGCATATAACATTACCGATACGATATTGAGATAAGAATGCCAGCCGTTCAGAAGGTGGACGTCCATCGTTTGAATAATACAGTGCTCTCATGTTTATTATTAGCAAAAGAATATAATATTTCAAAAATATATGCCCAGAAAAATAAAACGGAGAACGAGTAAGTCCTCTTTCCAAACGCATTCCGTTTTAAGTCTCTCGCTATAGACCGAATTTTGATATTTATTCTCTGTCCATTACATTTTTTTCTATTTCTCTTTGTCTTGACTCGAGTGTCTGTCTACTCATGCGTAATCGAAATAATATTTGAACCTCGACGAAGCGTACGACTTGAGACAAGACGATAGATTCAGAGAACGATATATACGCGAAGAGACTCGTTATCGCTTCTATTGGTCTCTCGATTTTTATTTTTCCTTTCCGTTCGTTATTTCAAGGCGCGTCGCGTTCAAGTGTGCAAGTATACAGGGTGTCCAAAAAAAAAACCAGACGTTCTCTTATTGAAAGATTCTGTGGAACATTCATCGCTCCGCGACCTGTACCTAAACCTGAACGTGCGAGATTTTCATAAACAGATCAATCAACTTCAAATTTGATTTGATTTGATTTTTTATTTTTAAATACTATCATAAAGAATCTCGATGTTTTTGCGAGAGTTCTTAGCAAAGTTTTTCACGGAATCTGCCAATAAAGGAACGTCCGATAATTTTGGGACACACATATAGACGCGACGTGATTTGATGACGGAAAAAAACAGGGCGGTTGCGGTGAGGGAGAGGGGAAAGAGGAGGGGGAGGGGGAGGAGGGATGCGTCCAGGAAACGTCGCGGTGGCTCCGAAATGAGCGCGTTCGCGCCGACCGTTTATTTACGCACATAATCGCGGGCTACGCGGGCATTTTGCGTTTGTATGCAAATGGGCCTTCGAAGCGCACGCGATTTATACCACGCTTCTAAATGTCTATGCCGTGAAATATGCGCCTCGCACGCACGGCCACCAAAGTGCATTTCCGAGCGAACGCCGCTGCAACTGCGACGAGGCCGCGGGCGGCGCGGCGCGGCGCCGCGCGACGAGTATAAATAAATTTCGCGCGAGTTCATGCGAAACGCGAGTTCACGCAGAAATGTGGTCAATCCACGCGGTGCTCGGATTAACGTGGAGATCGGATGAAGCCGTATGGGACACCGTATGTTAAAACACTGAACGCGCGCGTCCGCTCGTGCCGCCGAAGGTGGAATCAAGTTGGCGAACGCAAGAAAAGAACTCGCTTAAAGAAAAGAAATAATTTCGACAACTGTAATTTTGTACCTCTGGAATTTAAGTTCTCGCAAAATAAGAAGAATCATCAAAATGGTACATTGAATGCGATAGAAATGTAGTAACGAGATATGTGAACTATTAATTAATGAAATAGCGAAATAGCTCAACGATAGACTCAAGTATAATTACACAATTATATACAAATGAACAGAATGTAACAATTTCCAATTTAGATAAATGTTTTTTTTTTCAAATAAGCATGATGATGTAATATTATTAATTTTAAAAAATATAACAATGTAATACAATATGCTAGTTTATCCAACAATTTACTACAAATAATTAATATTATTTTTTAGGTCATTTATTTGTTTGTTGCCCTTGTTACAATTTTGTAATATATAGTTGTGTCATTATTTATCTATAATTTCTGATACGACTTTTTTCTGCATGCTACAACGTGAACCTGACTCGAAATTGGTTTTGATGTTGATTTTTTATTAACTAGATAGTTAATTGACAATTGAAATGTTGAACGGAATTGTAATATACATCAATAACGATACGCCTTGCGAAAGATTATTCTTCGCAAAACGCTCGTTTCGATATGATGTAATAAATTCGTATTTATCTATATGGATGTATAAATAATAATAACGAATCCATGTATAATATATCATGCAGATTTTTGATTTTCCAAATACGGGGAATATAGGCATGATTTATCCATGCTCAACGGCTTATTTTGGAAATTGCATTCATACATTATATGCATAACAGTGGTTGTCTCGCATCGAAACTGAACTATCGGATTACAATTTATTTGATTTCCGATCAACTTGATATTCTGTAAAACCAGATTATTCGAAATACCCAGCTAATCTCAGCACGCGGTGATTATTTATGCGACCGTTGCTATGACGACGATTTATCAACTACTAAAGTATTGCCGAAAGCTCGACGAAACGCGAAACATATCCACCGAAAAGGATAGATTTTGCGATATGTAAAAATAATTGTCTCATATAATTCAAGTTTAAAAGCCCAAAAACAGTTGGCTTATTTAAGTAGACGTAATTTAAGATAACAAAATTGTTTGCTTTCGCAAAATTTTGATCTTATGTAAAATGCACCCATTAAATATACTGAAAGATCGATTCGGTTGGCAAAAATAACGAGATACAACGCAATTTTACAAAGAATGACCATGGAGTGACGTTCAAAGAAGCATTTCACTGTCTGAAATTTTAACTGCAACATCGTCCTGAGAAAGCTTGGCCAGATTTGAAAGATTTGATAATCTCACATTTTGAAATGCTTCTTTAAACATAGTCCGACAACCAATTTATTATTGCAAACTATTGTATTGTAAAATTACATTTCGATAACAGAAGATTTATATTCTATCATTTTTGCCACCGAAATCCAAAACTTTTTAATTTCGTCGAAGAGCGAAAAATTTCTAAAAAAATGTTAATATGTCTGAATCCCCTCTTTCTTTCTCCGTAACAATTAAAATCGATACATTTTTAGTCGATTAAAATCAATCTCTTTTCGAACTTTCTTATCTATATTTCAGGAAATAGAAATCGAAACTACGAGAAAAAATTGATCGCTCTTATTTCATCTTGGCGTCGATCGTATCGTGTTTTATTTTATTGCAAAATATATGAAAATATATTTAGCTTAATCGGATCCGCTACAAAGTCGTAGTATCGATAGAAATAAGACAGAAGATCTGTTTTTTGTCGCTGCACTAGGCTGCAGCAAAACTTTTTGTCTCACTACCAAATTTCCAATATATATCCACTTTGCTTCAAGTACAATACGATACACCAGTTCAGCTACAAAAAACAGACCGATAAAAAACATGTATATAATTTACACTCACCGCCTACGTCCGCAGGGGTCGAGTAGGACAGGAATCCAGCTGCGCGCCTGGGCCGCGACGCGAAAGCTCCCGCTGCCACCTTCACGTCCTTCCAGCTGAGTCTGTTCCGTGTGCGTAACACAACTTTGCCGATATGTATACAATATACAATATACAACACTAAAAATCACCAATCACTCCTTCGGTCCTTTCTTCTCACCTCGCCGTGGCTGGCTATCGGTCACCGAAAGCAATGTCAACCGCCGTGCAACAGCGGAGCAACAGGAGAGACTGGCGCAAACACATTCAGATCGAGGCGCAGCCGAGATAAGCCGACGACGCGAAGTGCGCGTCGAGTCGAAAACGGTTTCGCGGGTACGGAACGTACGGAACGTACGGAACGGCGGACGACGGCGACAAATCGACGATGCACCAGGACGCGCGGTGCCGAGACACGCGCGACCGACGCGAAACGCGGCGCGACGCGACGCGACGCGGCTGCCGAATTACGGATACGAGTTGCGTAGAGCACGGACGCGATGTAAACACCGTCCGACTAACACAGTGGCTCGCGCAATTCTGCCGCTTACGACGCGCCACGGCCGGCGCGCGTCGACCTCAGAGGACGCTGCGTCGCGCGCAACTTCGCGCCGTTACGCAAGCCGGCGAATCGGCGCGGACTTTCGCGGATCTTGTGACTCGCACCGATCAACAGTTTTATTATTTACACTGAATTTAAAAGGTATGCACCAGAAATCGTTTTGAGAAAAGTCCTATTTGTAGAAAATAATTTTCAATCAACAACTTTTTAGCAATGAATATGGTAGATGGTATATTTATTGAAATTATTCATAACCAAAAAATTTAATGATCGATATTATCTTGTTATTGTCTTAATAGTCGATACTGTCTTAATAATCAATAAAAAATCAATAAAGTATATTAATTTATTTCATCCGTTACACAAAAGTGCGATAAATGCACTGAAGATTATGAATTGTTATGTATTAATGCCAATGAATATTCCAAAGTATTAAGGATATATTACATATATTTTTATATTACATCTATTTGCCACGAAAAAATTATGAAAGACTTATAGGTTATTCTTGATTCGCATTTAAAAGTAATACAAAAAATTTTGCAAGAATCTGATCAAAACCTATTTAAATATAAAGTAAAAATATGTTTTAAAGAAATATAATTAAGAAATAATGCAAAAATTTCAATTTCTTATAACTTATATTTTAAATATTCAAGATGATTTATGTAAGATTTCATTGTGATACAGAGATTAGGTATTCTGTAAATAAACATTTAATTTAATTTAAAAAATCTTTTTTAAAATAATTGATAATTTCTAGTATATTTTTGAATACTTTTTGGATTCTTTGTACATTCTTTTTGAATTTTTCCCGTATTTGTATATTAAGAAAGAGATGATAAGAAAAATTGCATAGCTCTAGTTTTAAGAGTATAGCTATACTTTAATTTTTGTAAATTAATAATATATGAGATATGAATATGAAATAACATAGAACATATTTTGTAATGCAATTTTTTTACTTTTCATATTTCATGTTATTATTATTATAAGAAATGTGATAAGCTCAGCTACTTTTACTGTTTTCATTCGCTGCGTGTTGTTGCATTATTAAAAAGCTTTCAAACGCTCTCGAAAAAAAGTTACAAAGAAAAATAGAATTCGAAATCTCCCTCCTTTTATAGGAATTAAAACGTAATCTCATTTGCAAACTCTTACAACGCCGCCATATACACCAACTCAAAATGGAAAAATAACTATTAAAAAAAATTGAAAGAAATTCCCTTTTGTTTCTTATTTATATTATGAAAATTAATCATTTTTATTTTAATTGTAATATTTATAATCAGTACTATAGAATTAATTGTTTAAAATTAATTGTTTAAATTAAAAATACATTTTCATGTTGACTAGTGTTTTTAATGGTAAAAATTTTCTTATAATTTTGTTATAATCTTAAAATTTTGTTGTAATCTTGATTTTAGTAGGATTGATATCCAATTACTACTGAATGTTACTCTCTGATTATGTACCTATATATCATAATTATATATATAACATAATTATTCAGATGTATGTAGGAAGTAATAACGCACCATCAAAAAAGCGCGATATCATTTCAACCGCTTTAAATATTTTACTGCAAAAGAAAATTTAATTTGATACATGTGTGATTACCGAATATTTAACACATAAATCAGTGAATTTCTATATCCCTTTTTACTTCCATTAGAAAAATATAAGAGTTAATGGAATAACAAAACAATATACAAAATTGGATCGCAATAATAGAAATGGTACGTGAAATAAATAAAAAAAATCATATATAAGCAAAATATTGTCAACTGAAAGACATAAATAATAATTATTAACATTGAGAATATTATTAACATTACTGAGAAGATAACTGTTAAGGTTCGAAATATATTTAGAAAATATTGTCAAATTCAAACTACTGGAAATTTCATAAATTATATAATGTTAATCGATATATTCAAGAGTATCATGTGAAGCTTATTTGAATTTCTGATCGTGCCGATTTTGAATTTGATGTCGTTTTCAGGAAAGTGTAAATGTTGGCTTTAATTATACAATGAACAAAAACAGGTTCAATTGACTTGTGTGAGTTTGAATATTTGTTTACGAGCTGCAAAACGCAAATATTTTGTCAGTACTTTTAATGACGCGGACGTAGCGCGGTCGGACGGACGGATTAAATCCGGGAGATTTTATATTCGACGAACGTCGAACGCGCAAAATAATCTTGCGCGCAAAATATTTAATGTGCTTTAATGTATTTGTTCGATAAACGTTAATAGAGATTCGCCAAAATTCTAACCGTATACAATACCGTATACCGCGTGCCAAATTAATTTTAATAATACAATAATATAAACGAATACAGTTTACTTACAACATAAATACGCTAATACGTTTATAATTTATAGACGCTCTTCTAACATATAAATTATAGATGAGAGTACGAGGAGAAATGATTTATAGCTTTACACACAATTTCGCTGTTCGCGCCCGAAACCTCTTATCATCGCGGCCCGGTATCAGCGACGAAATGCGCACGCAACTATCAATCAAGCCCTGTATTCAGAGACAAAAAAAACAACGAGTTGCATCTGCGCTCAGCGCAAGTCAATAAACCCGTTTTATCATCAATCAAAGCTCGCTTGTACAAAATCTATCGGCCTCACTCAGTTATGCAGTTTGTGCGTTCGGGCGCAGGCGCGCGGGCGCGCGATCCTAGGGCTTTATCGGTGACGCGGTGTCGTCGTTGTTTCTCGATAAGCGCGAGATTCGGCGAGATTGCGCGTTTTTCGGCGCCGCGCGTAAATCCGCGCGCGTAAGCGTAAGCGTGCGCGCGCACGCACGCGGGTTTAGCGTCCTTTTAATTACCGCTTGTAATTCCGAACAAATGCCAGTCATCGGGTTTACGGTCGTTGGTCGCGCGCCGCCCCGCGCCGTAGGCATTCATTTACGAATATTGTTACCCGAAATCAGATTGGGCGTACAGCGTACGCCCCGCGCGGGCCCGATATTGTTTTCGGTGACGCTCGGGCGTGCATAATCATATTCGCGGTGTCGCGGAAAACCGCCGCGCGCACACGAACCTGTATACCCGTCAAATGAAATTGGCCTGACTAGAATACGCCAAAATCGATATTCCGAGGGCCCTCGTTTGTCGTCCGTATATGCATGTACACTCGGTGTGTCGTGTATGTCTTCCCTAGGCCTTTTCAAAACAGACGCGTCGCGTGCCATCAGGCATTCATGTGCCATTTTACTAAAGATATTATTAACAGGTTTGACAATATCGGCAGTTCAATAGTTGCAGTTTGACACGTGTCAAGGGACATATATCTACACCATCAATGTGATACTAAGAGAATACTAAGTACTTTAAAAAGATTAATTTATGTGATTTAAATAGTGACATTCTGTTTGGCAGACTATGTAATATTTTACATTATTTTAACCGATTTCTATAAAAATATTTCTAAACTCTCGATAGAAAAGTCTTTTTTTTTTAAGTTATAAAAACATTTTTTTATAATTATATTGGCAATTATTTAAACTCTTTCCGTTGTCTTTTAATTATTTTAATTCTACGGATTTAAATATTCTTCATTTATATAATAGGATTATAAAATATAGCTCTTTAATATACACTGCAATAAATTTATTTATTAATTTGTACATTAATTAAATCAATATACATTTGTATTATTATAATTAACAAAATATGAATTAATAATCAATGCATTACGATTATCTCTTATTTATCACACCATGGTATTCTGACTATTAAACTCTGCTTTAAGATATAATGATTAGTGCCTTCTTAAATTACAAACATTATTTTCTTTAATTATCCTACAAAATGGATTACTGTAAACATGCAGACGTAATACGCATTAGTTTTTAAAAATATCTACGGATATCATTTATAATGCCGAGTACACACTCGAAGCGGGCTCAATTATGTTATGAGCGCACGAACGTGGTATACAGTTTATAAATTACCTCGTAAAAGTTGGAAGGGTGTTTCGAGATCATTTTTACAGGCCGCGATTCCGATGGTAATCGACGCGACTTGAATTTTTTATTTCGAGTTTCGAATTCATCCAACAGCGCCGTTGCAATTGAGGGCAGAAGAGAGGGAGAAAGAGAGAGAGAGAGAGAGAGAGAGAGAGAGAGAGAGAGAGAGAGACGAGGACGGA